TATATAATACTTAAAATTTTCGATGTCAATTATACATAGGAGTATCTGTCGACAACATAACCACCCTAAAATCATCATCTCATGACTGTTGAAAACGAATTAGATCATATAATTTTCGTTCTCAATCTTTATGACTTACACACGGGGAATTAAAGTTAAAAAGATTGAAAAAAATCAATCATTTATAATCATTGATAAAATATTTTTTAAAAAGTTAGAATTAATAATCCGTTTTAGAAATTGAATGAGTTTGATATTATCAAAATTTATGTATCAATTTCTGTAACAATTCACCCATTAGCAAATGAGTTTGTGTGCATACGTATATATATATATATATATTCATTTAATTGCAAATTAACCAAAAAAAGCAAAAAGAACAATTAGAAAAAAAAAACGAGAACCTTATTTGTATGGATAGAAAACAATTCATTTACGTAAAAAAAAAAAAAAAAAAAAAATGTTTGCAAGAGGATATGCATCAAACTCATGTCAATATAACATTACGTATATATATATATATATATTATATTATATATTATATAATTAAACAAGTTGGAGAAGGTGATGGGACTCTCGAGAGGAAAATGGCATTGAACCATAAAACTTTACCTCAATTTGCAGCCATAATCTATGGAATAATAATTTATAATATTTAAAATTTTAATTTATTAATATATTAATAAAATAATAATAATTAATTTAAATAAATTTATTGTGTTTTTAAATAAAATAAACACCATAATGACTAATTTTTTTATTTTTGTCACTTAATTTTGTTTTTTTAAATAATTAAATTTATTTAAAAATATTAAAATTACAATACATATTATTATATTATATTATATTATAAATATCATATATAATTTTACAGATCAAGTCAAAGTAATTGTCATTTCCATTTTGAGTTGTATTGTCGTCGATCATAATTAAACCTATCTCGTAGACTTTATTTTAAAAATTAAAAAAAAAAAAAAATTCTCAAGGCGTGGAATATGAATAGCTTTTATTTATTTTTAATATTTATTCATAAACAATTTTATAATTTTTAATGAGAAAAATAAAAATTAATAGCACTATAATATTTAATAATTCAAGTAAAATAAAAAAATTAATAATAAATGGGTAATAAATATGAAACTTTAAAAATTAATATAGTAATTTATATAGATACATTAGTATCTTCATATATATTATATGAAAATCTTTTTTAAAAAAAATTTATTAAAAACCCACAAAAAATAAGTTTGGAGAAAGGATTATATATATATTTATATATGTATATATTGTAATTTAGTTACATGCATTCATCAAATTCCTGTACGTAGTTATAATTTAAATAGTGAAGTGCTTTAAAACTAGACTGAATTTTTGAAAGCTTTCCAAAAAAGCAAACAGCAGCAGCTACATGTATCTATATATCTATATATATATATATACACACACACGCATCATATGTATATATATATATATATATATATATATATGCAGGTGATATGATGATCACCGACAAGAAGCTTATCTTCTTCCTTTTACGTCGACTAGCTACTGCTTGTACTTGTATATCTGCATTTTTTTTTTATTAATTACCCTACCCACCTACCTCCTCCACTCCAACTTAATCCATCTACAGTTTATACACAGTTTCACTTTACATTACACATACACACACACACACATATATATATATATATATACATATATGCACACACACACACACACACACATATATATATATACATACAAACATGTGTCTGTCATAGATGTGATAACCTATAAAAAGTCAATCATCGTTTCCATCCACAAAATCAACTATTCATTTTTACTTAATTGACATTCTTGTTTCTTCTCTGAAGATTAATTAATTTAGTTTCACATTAAAATTGTGGGTTAATACGAGATTAAGCAACTAATTACGGTGATTAGAGTGTAATTAATTAGATTAAATTAGCTGGAAATTCTTCTTCTTCTTATTTTTTTTTTGTTGCTAAAAATGTAGATTGCTTTGGATTTGGTTAGGTACTTAGGTTCGTGAAAAGATGTAATTAGGCATGAAACTTGAAAAATCACCCATGTGATTGATTACACTTAATTTGACTGTTCAAAGTTGGAATTTTTATTTGGGGTAGTCCAAATTTGGAATATGACCAACAAAAATTACTTTCCTTTTTTAAATTATCATTTTGAATGCATGGAATTTAATTAATACCCAATTATTTCAAAATTTTAAATTAAATTACATGTTGTGTATATACACACACACACATATATATATATTTATGTATGTATTGTATATGCCTAAAGATATGAAGAATCAAAAGGACCATCTTATCTTTTAATTTGCAAGACGTTGATTGTTTTACCCCCACAAGAAAAAAAAAAAAAAAAAGAAAGGTGGTAGCACATGTTCAGACTTTTATGAAAGTTCCATGCAAGTTTGTCCACTACTACATGACAAATTCATTTGCAGCATGCTTCCCTTTATATATCTATATCTATATATATATATGTATATATATACATAGATACACACACGCGCGCGCACCCACATATTTGTATATGTATATGTGTATGTAATTCAGTCAAAATTTGGTGAAAATATCGGCCCGTGGTCTTTAATTAACTTTGATTTATTTTATGATTAGCTTTAATTATAACATTAATTTTGTCAAAAAACTATTGTCAATATACGGGCGAACGACTCATGAATATTATTTTTTACGTTATATTAAAAATATAATTAATATTTGTTGTTATGTATATATATATATATATGTCTATATGTACATATATATATATATATACACGTACGATAGAGAAAAAAAAAAGAAAAAAGAAAAAGAGGGACCGTAGGAAGATATAAGGCGTGAAATATGGAATCCATATGTAGCAAATGAAAAGTATAAATCAGAATGGGCCTGTTTGCTTTTCGGTTCGTTCAAAGCCGTCGTGGGTCGGTGTGGTCCTCCACCCGTAACCAAACAACTCCCTTTCATCCATTCACACCCCCAACCTTTTCGCCCATTTCAATTCGGACCACTCAAATTCTAATTACTTACATATATACACACACACATTCATACATTACATACATTTATACCCTTATATGTATGTATGTGTATGTGTATGTATATATATATATATATATACATTGGGTGTATAAAAAAAGTTATAATTCGAGGGAATCTTTACTTTATCAGCATATTTTTTTTTCCTAACTTTTTAAATTAAAAATAAAAGAATATTTCATTTTTATTAAAAATATTAGTATTATATGTGAAAATTTGACCATTTACTCACTACCCAATAATTTTATAAATAAAATTGTAATTTAATATTTTTTTAATTACAAAAATATTGACATTATTACAACCACATATATATGCATTATATATATATATGTGTGGATCATTGGACCACATAATGACGGTTAATTATTAATGTGACCAAAATTTTCAGAGGTTGATATTGATGGCTGGTGAAGTAAGGCCCGTTACATAAGTTTTGCATTTAGAGAACCAGGTTTGATAAAGATGGTGCTTTAATGCTCATACACACATACATACATACATATATATATATATATATATATAAAGTGTGTGTTTTTCTCATACCCAATAATAAATTATAGTTGAAAATTGAAAATATATATATATTTTTCTGTATTTAATAAGTGGACTTTTTTTTTTCTTCTATAATCATTTACAGAAGCTTAGTGATTATGACATGTTAAATACTATTTTTTTTTTAATTTCATTTGTTTTAAAAAGGAACCTCAAATTTTCAAAATTCAACTATCATTTATTAATGGGTAAGAGAAAAACACACACACACACACAGATATATATATATATATATATAGCAGAATATGTATATGTATATTATATATATATGTATGAGCTATAATATTTACATAAGCTTAGTGATTTTCAAAATAAAGATTTTATAAATTTCAAATTTGACTACAAAAAACTTTTACGAACTTAGAAAAATGGACCACAAACAATTTGGCTTTGAGATTTGGACTTGCATATTCCTTCAAGCAATCCTTCAATTTTCACCGCCAATTTTGAAAAATGGAAATCATTTTCAAATGTTTTGGTGTATTTAAAAGACGGGTCGGGTCGGGTCGGTATCCAACATAATTATCGTATTATTTATTGATTATAATTATTTTTATTGTATTATAATAATTAAAGTATATATGTTGCTTAATTAATAAATATATAAATTTACTAAAAAAAAATAATTACAACCAACATAATTTTAAATTTGGACTTACTCGCTCATTTAAGTAATCGTTCAATTTTTATAACCAAATTTAAAAATACATTATCAGACGTAATTTTTTAATAAATTATTGAGTCTCAGTCGGATAAAATTCTCGTATATATTATCGTTTATAAATATTTTTATTATATTATAATGATTAATGTACACGTATCACTTAATTACTAAATATATAATTTATTAAAAAAAACAAAAAATTTATCTTTTTAAGAGGCATAAATATGAACATTGAATTATTATATGACATACAAAATCTAAAAAAGAATTAGAGGATTGTTAAATAAATACTTAAATTCAAATTCAATCATGTAGAGTTCAACTTACATTATGTTATATATATACACACACACACACACACACACATATATATATATATATATGTATATATATATTTTATCGTGAATATATACACACAAACACACACACACACATATATATATATATATATATATAAGAAAAATGAGATTATATATGATAGAAAGATGATGACTGAGATGTGAATATGGATCTAAACCCAAAAATTTTTAGAAGCCCAAATGGGTTACAAGCCCTTGGAAGCCCAATTATTGCAAAAGGGCAAGGGGTGTTCTTGAAATTTAAAAACAGAGGTGCGGGTAAAAAGTAAGAAATAAATAAAATTAGGGGTCAGAAATATAAATTAACGAAATATAAATGGTCCTTACTCCCAGTCTTCTCTATGTTGACGAGACTAAACCCTAATAATACAGTCGCCGTCTTGCCGGCTTTCGCATTACGAGCTGAGTTCCTAGTTTACATCTGTATTTCAATTATCTTATTTGACTATAACCGCTATTTCTTTAATTAATGGTTATAGTTTGTTTAAACGTGTTGAACGCTGTCTTCTATAACCGCTGTACTGCGAGTTGCTTGGCAGAGTCGACCAGACGTATTTTGAAATGGAACAAAATCAAGAACATTACTGTTGCAATTGATTTTTTTTTTGGGTTTCTTTTTGTTTCATCATATCCGTTGTTTTTCACGAGTGACTGAATTGGGATCGAAGTAGAAGCTTTTTGTTTCAAGGATTGTGAATGTGAAAAGCTTAAACTGTATTCCTTTCCGGATTTAGGGTTTTCATCAACATAGGTTCTTGGCCATTCCGTTCAGCATTCATATGCAAGAGCTGAAGGGGGCACTTGTCGGGCAATCCCTTGATGATTTGGATTTTTTTTTACAGTTTATTTCGCTTTGGGTTGTGTATCAAATTCTCAAGTTATTATCATTTGCTGATGAGGACAAACATATGGGCATGAGCTGCAACAATAATTTTTTTGCGCACCGTGCAGCAGAGCACGGATTGTTGTTGCAATGAGGTAATGTGCCAAAATGCTAATCTGAGGCATTTTCAAGTTTTTTGTTTTAATTTATGAAATGGCATAAAATTTTGTTAGTTTCAAAACTAGTGTTGTTAGCAAGAAATTTGTCTAATTACTCATGTTTTTCTTGGATCTTATTTTAGTATCTTCGATTGAGTTTGGTGCATATATAGTACAGGTGTTGGTTTCTTTTAGTGCTTTCAAATGCCTGTGATGACAATTTTGGACTTGAGCTGCGACGACAGTTTTGCGCTCCATGTTAGATTTTCTACATGGGTTGTTGTTGCAAGGAAGAATGTGCCAAAATGCTAATCTGAGGAACAAAATTTTGACTTCCATTAATTTCCACTTCTGGATTTCGTAGAATCGATGATATTTTTAGATGCATCATACTCTTCTAGTTGCACGGCATATTCGATTAATGTCTATATGGATGCTTGTCTGTTCGTTATTAGATGCAACATACTTTTTTTTGGTTGTACGACATATTCCGTTGTTCCCTTTATGGATGCTCTCTATTCTCACTTCCATGGCTGTCCATAAGCTGAGGGTATCTGGGAATCATGAGTCGGCTTAACTTTTTAACAAGTAGAAAGCTCCCTGGCAAAATCTCATTTTGGTGCCAACAAGGAGGGTTCATTCTCTGGATATTTAGATTTAGTGTTGAAAGAACTAAGTTTTACAGAAAATGTAGTCTTTTCTCTTATATTTTGTGGCAGTTTGAGTGCTCGAGTCAATTGGGACTACGATTCTGGATAAGCATTCCTTTCTTGATTCACTGACAGATTTGTTCACTACGTTGATTTGTGTGAACTAATTGCTTTTTCCTCCTCAAAATTAGAGAAAGAAAAATTCTGAGTAGAGGAATTAGACATACTGTTGACGTGTGGATTATTATGATGAATGTGCCGGTATCCTATCTCAAAAATGTCCATTATATGTCAGTGATGTTAAAGAAAAAACAGTTTCTGTGTTAGTGAATCTGCTGATACGTGCATATATTGTGATTGACCGTAGAGTTTGTTTGCAAAATTTGTCATTTTAAATTTTGCTTGAGCTCATAGCCATCTAATGGTACGGTTTGAGTAGTAGGTAAACATAGAAGAGTAGGTATGCATTTTGAATGGCAGGTTTCTGACGGTATGAAAACTTAACGCCTAAGATATTCATATTCACTATATAAACACACCCATTCAAGCTATGCATTCATAAGTTTGTGTTAATTATGTTTAGTGGCAGTCTGTCTACCTTGATATCTTTTGTACAGAGCATCTTAGTTAAACTTTGCTAGGCATCTTTTCTAGTAGCAGTGCCAGTGGTGGCCTCATTTCTTCTGGTGGTGAAGAAAGTTGAAAATGGGACCTGGCGGACCTGGCGGGCCTGGCGGACCTGGCTGGGGTCCTGGTGGACCTGGCTGGGGTCCTGGGCCAGGCGGTCCATGGGGTCCCATTCCCGGAGGACCTGGTTTTTGGCCTGGACCTGGTGGGTGCGTTGATGGTTTGTGCAGTGTGATTTCTTCCTGGTAAATTTACTTCTCTCGTGCATGCTATTTTCAAGATTTTTACTTTTCACTTTTCTATGGCAACCAGAGTTAAGCAGCACTAACTTTATTTCTGGATTAAATTGAAAAAAAGATTGCCTTCATTCTTTTATTTATAATTTCTGTATATCTTTTCTACCGCAGCTTCTACTGCCTGTGCTGTTGTTGGCTGCTGCAAGATTGTTTTGGTGGGCCTCGTGGACCGTATGGTCCTCCCGCCGGGCCACTACCCTTTTGATCTAGCGAACTTGCGCCCCAAAAGTTCGATGGTTCATTGGATCTCAATGGCTGTTTCCTGTGTTAATCATATTTTCTACTCATTTGATTTATCTCCGCAAGTTTATATTTGAGTAAACTGTATTATAGCAACTGTTTAAAAATCCTGGCTGTGTTCATCATTTTCCGGCCTCTCCCCTCCGGTGCTCTCGCATAATAACAGTCGATGTTTCGCAGTTAGATTGTTGTTCGTGTCATCTTCTACATACAGATATATTTCGGGGCAGCCAAACAATTTATATACAATTAAATTGGCTATGAGAAAATGGGTATGCTCTTTCTAAATTGAAAGGCATGATCTAAGAGTCTACATATAGATATATTTTTGTATTTGGTGACTTCAAAACTCTTCATTATTAATTAATCACAAACTTAAACTCAGTTTGATCTCGTCTAAATGGAGTATGCAAATCGTAAAACTATTAATTAATCTCGAATTTAAACTCAGTTTGATCTCGTCTAAACTGAGTATACAGATTATATCGTGTCAAGAGTTTCGTCAATGGATTGACAACTTTCTCATCGCGTCTTGTTAATAGAGATCGAGAACATTTGCATGTGTTTCGAGAATCAAAATTTAGACTAAAATTTTGGGTTTTAATAAATTGTTCTTAATTTTCTCTCACACTGAGTTAATTCCCACAAAAAAAAAAAAAAAATTGAAAATAGAAGAGAGAACTCACACCTTTTCAAAAAGGCCCAAAAATTTAGCCAATATTTGACCTCGGCCCATTTTGAAAAAGTAATAAGTCCACACTTTTTTCAAAAGGCCCAATAAGTGCAGCCTAAATTTTAAAGGCCCAATAACCCAACCCATATTTATGTCGGCCCAGCTTGAAAATTAATGCCTCCACGACTCTTTCAAAAGGCCCAAATTTTAAAGCCACAATAAGTCCAACCCAAAATTCAAAGGCTCAATAAACCCAGCCCCTTTGTTTTTACCTCGGCTCATCATGAAAATTGATTAGCCCACACATTTTCCGAAAGACCCAAATTTTAAATGCCCAATAGGTCCAACCCAATTTTAAAGGCCCAAAAGTCTAGCCCATATTTTATCTCGGTCCATTTGAAAAGTAACGAGTCCACATCTTTTCCAAGGCCCAACTTTAAGGGCCCAATAAGTCCAACCCAAATTTCAAAGGCCCAATAAATCCCGCTCATTTGTTATCTCCACCCATTTGAAAATTTAAAAGTCCACATCTTTTTAAAAGGCCCAATAAGTCCGACCCAAAATTTAAAGGCCCAAATAATTCCAGCCCATATTTTATCTTGGCCCATTTGAAAATGAATGAGTCCACATATTTTAAAGGCCCAATAAGTCCAACCCAAATTTGAAAGGCCCAACAATTCCGGCCCATGTTAAAATAAGTCCACACTTTTTCAGGAGGCCCAATAAGTCTAACCCAAAATTTAAAGGCCCAATAAACCCAGGCCATATTTTATATCGGCCTATTTGAGAAGCATAGGTCCATACCTTTTTCAGAAGGCCCAATAAGTCCAGCCCAAACTTCAAAGGCCAACTAAACCAGCCCATATTTTATCTCGGTCCATCTTGAAAATTAAAATGTCCACACCCTTTTCAAAAGGCCCAAATTTTGAAGCCCCAATAAGTCCAACCCAAAATTTAAAGGCCCAATAAACCCAACCCATATTTTTTCTCAACCCGTTTTGAAAATTAATAAGCCCACACCATTTTCAAAAGGCCCAATAAGTCAAACGGAAACTTTAAAGGCCCAATAAGTTGAGCCCATTTGAAAATAATAAGTCGACTTTTTCAAGGCCCAATTTTAAGTGCCCAATAAGTCCAACGCAAAATTTAAAAGCCCAATAAATCCATCCCAAAATTTAAGAGGCCCAATAAGCTCAAGGCCCGATAAGTCAACCCCATATTTTATTGTGGCCCATCTCGAAAATAATGAGTCCATAGCTTTTCAAAAAGGCTCAAAATTTAAAGGCCCAATAGGTCCAGCCCAAAATTTAAAGGCCCAAACAATCCAGCCCAAGTTTCATCTTGGCCCGTTTGGAAAATAATAAATCCACTTTCTAGAATTAGGTAAAGACAGTTTTCGACCCAACCACTGAACAGCTAAACTGCAGCCTTGTCTTCACCATCTCTCATCTCAGATCCTTTATCGTTGCATCACGAGTTCCTCGTCGTTCTCAAGCTACTGCCTTTCCGATCATTCGATTTTTCTTTTCAATATAGTGAGTATACTATTTTGAACTCGTTGATAGTTGTTTCATGGATTGATGCTGATATTTTGACTTTTGAATCAGATTGATTGGTGAGGAGATGGAGTTTGATGAACATCTCTTTCCTTGCTAGTCGTCGATTTTCAATCTCTATGCGTATTCAAATGAGTTTATGTTCCCCGGTTTGTTAGGTTGCTGTGCATGTGTTTGACTTTGAGGAAATGAGACAGATCGGTGTCCCTTCCTTGTATACCATTTTGAACTCGTTGATAGTTGTTTCATGGATTGATGCTGATATTTTGACTTTTGAATCAGATTGATTGGTGAGGAGATGGAGTTTGATGAACATCTCTTTCCTTGCTAGTCGTCGATTTTCAATCTCTATTCGTATTCAAATAAGTTTATGTTCCCCGGTTTGTTAGGTTGCTGTGCATGTGTTTGACTTTTAGGAAATGAGACAGATCGGTGTCCCTTCCTTGTATGGATTACAAAAGGGGGGAAGAAAGAATGGGGGTGGGGGTGGGCATGGCTTACCTTAGTAACGGTTATAATGTTAATAAACTGGATACTATCATACACGGTTTCTTTTTAGTTTACCGTGAGCTACTCTAGTTTTGTTTGTTAAACTAAATACTGATATTTGGCTGCTTATATATATATATATATGTATATAATATTATAGTGTTATATTATAGGCAGTGTTGTTTTCTATTATCCGTCTTCTCCACCAAGCTGTGTTTTTCTACCTAACATCAGAGGTCCTATTAATTGATTTACTGATTTAGGGTATGCAAAATTAAGTGACTTCTTCTACCTCAATCTTTTTGTTTATGTGGTGTAAATGATATTTTGTTCTGGTTTTTCGTTGTTTTTTAATTTTACATATCATTGTTTTGGGCGTTTTCATGGAATATTTGTATCTAATATTTAAATGGGTGAATGGATGAATGGATCTAATCCTTGCAGTCCAGATAAGGAGAGATGGGGAGCTCAGGACAAGTGAACTGGACATTGGAGGATCACCCAAAGCTTCCTAAGGGCAAGATCATAGCGATGGTGGTGTTGGATGGGTGGGGGGAGGCCAATCCTGATAAATACAATTGCATCCATGTTGCAGAGACGCCCACCATGGACTCCCTCAAAAATGTATTTTCCTTTCCTTTTTCTTCTCTTTTTGCAGTTAACTATTTACATGATTATCTGCTCATGCTGTATTTCTGATCTGGACTGCCTACCATTCTTCTACAATTTATGGGTTCATATCCTTTTTTTTTTGTATTTTCTCTATCTGTACCTATAACTAGTGGCTTTTCGTTTATAGTTTCCTCAATGACAATTTAGTCACTAGTATCTTACTGGCCTCATTCATTACTAAAGTTCAACAAGTGGAAAGGAAAGTCCAATGTTTCTTAGATACTAATTCAAGGAATTTAATTAAAAGTTCTGTATGTGGAAATCCTTTCAAATGCATTGAAAATTTTGCTTTAAATAATTCTATTTGTTGTAGTAGTTGTTAATGCTGTTTCTGTTCATCTTTAAAGGGTGTGCCGGAGAAGTGGAGATTGATTAGAGCTCATGGTATGGCTGTTGGGCTTCCAACAGAAGATGACATGGGTAACAGTGAAGTTGGTCATAATGCTCTCGGTGCTGGGCGCATTTATGCCCAAGGGTAAGCTTCCCAAACGTTTTCCTCTTTAAAAACATATATATCGACAGGCTTATGCCTCTCTGCATTCTTGCCGCTTTGTTGCTAGATGTTCATCCAAAAAAGACCTTGTGGATCTGTCTTTTGCGACTTACCTTATAGACTATATTCCGGTAATTAATAATTAAATGAAACATACTCTTGAATCCAGTATTTGTCTCAATTCTTTAATCATGTAGTGCCTTTTATTGACCTACATCCTCTCTAAATAAGCTTATTCTATAAGGGTATCACAGAGTTAACAAATATCTCTAACTAAAGCTTATTCATAGGGAATTTATACTTTTGTTATGTCAACATTAAATAGAAAGTTTCAATAAATCAAGAACTGTCTTTTTTGGCATATTCAGTTATCTGTTTGTTTCTAAGTTTGTTCATCTACAAATACAGTGCAAAGCTTGTTGACCTTGCTCTTGCCTCTGGAAAAATCTACGATGGGGAAGGCTTTAAGTTCATATCAGAATGTTTTGAAAACGGCACATTGCACCTCATTGGTTTACTGAGTGATGGTGGAGTCCACTCGCGACTTGATCAGTTGCAGGTTAGTGTTTTTAGTTGAGGAATCACTGTCAACTTGCAAGTTTCATTTTTTCAAATGAAGATTCTTATTTTTTCTATTTATTTTATGCAGTTGCTGCTAAAGGGAGCCAGTGAGCGTGGTGCTAAAAGAATTCGAGTTCATATTCTCACCGATGGGCGTGATGTTTTGGATGGTTCAAGTGTAGGCTTTGTAGAAACTCTTGAGCACGACCTTGCAAAATTACGTGAGACGGGTGTCGATGCACAGATTGCATCTGGCGGAGGTCGAATGTATGTTACAATGGATCGTTATGAGGTACTAACAGCGCAAAGATATTCTATTCATAGAGTTTTTTTCTAGGAAGATAGTAGATGGATTTGGTGAATATCTTTTCTAAGAGTTGATATTGAAATTGAAAGTATGTAGAATGCTGGCCACTTCTGGTATAATTTTTTTGGTAGAAGCTACTTGTAAAATCTCTATTGTCCTTGCCAGTGGGAATCACGTTTTTGACATTTAGGTCTTAGATAGTACAAATACCTTTCTTATTTCTCGAACTAAACCTTTTTTTTCTTGGGGTAGCGAAGTGGTTGATTTCATGAAAAGCTTTTTTGCTGCTCTTTGTCGTCCGTATAATATTTTTCTTGATCATGATGTATTCAAAACTTAAATTTGGCGGATCCTTCTTGAGTAATTCCTTGAGAACAACTTCTGGGTCGACTACTAATATATATGTGCCCTTGGCTATATTTACTCTATTGACATGTTGGCTTGATGACATTTCATGGGATTCCTCTTTTTTTTTCCTGGCAGAATGACTGGAATGTTGTGAAGCGAGGATGGGATGCCCAAGTTCTTGGTGAAGCTCCATACAAATTTAGGAATGCTGTTGAAGCAGTCAAGAAATTGAGGGAAGAAACCAAAGCTAATGATCAATACCTTCCTCCTTTTGTTATTGTTGATGACAAGGGGCAGGCTGTGGGTCCTATAGTGGATGGTGATGCAGTTGTTACCTTCAACTTTAGAGCAGATCGTATGGTAATGATTGCCAAGGCACTTGAGTATGAAAATTTTGACGTTTTTGATCGAGTTCGATTCCCAAAAATCCATTATGCTGGAATGCTTCAATATGATGGGGAGTTGAAGCTTCCAAGTAAATATCTTGTCTCTCCACCGGAGATTGAAAGAACATCTGGTGAATACTTAGTGCATAACGGTGTCCGTACTTTTGCTTGCAGGTGAGTTATTAGTAAATCTTTAATATCCAGATGTTATTCATGTGTGTTGGTTGGATGCTTCATTTGCCTGTCCGTTTAGGCAAGGGAATTGTTTTTTATGAGGAAATTAGGCTCATAATTCATAAATCGAAATTATTTTTTCACCACCTTGTTTGTGGAGTTGCCCTAACAAATATTACTTATCCGCACTTTTTCCTTCTCTTCCAACAGTGAAACTGTTAAGTTTGGTCATGTCACTTTCTTCTGGAATGGAAATCGCTCTGGGTACTTTAACAAGGACATGGAGGAGTACGTGGAAATTCCAAGTGATAGTGGAATCACTTTCAATGTGCAGCCTAAGATGAAAGCACAGGAAATTGCTGAGAAAGCGAGAGATGCTATCCTTAGCGGCAATTTCACCAAGTAAATGATGAGTTTTTCATTTGGTATTTTTGAAGTGTTTGTTAAAAAGAAATTGAGAATCAAACATATGAACACCTCCTTCTAGTCTGTACTTTATTTAGGTACGCGTTACCATACCCAATGGTGACATG